ACACATATATATATATATATTTTTTTTCAAAGAAAAATAACAAACCTGAAAGGCAAAAATATTTTCAAAACTTTTCATGAAAAAAAATACACATCAGTCAAAATTTTATTTGAAAAAAAAACGGATTTCCCTGAAATGTAAAGTGCATTGTATAATTAATGTATAATAATAATCATAATCATAATTGTAATATTTAGTAGAATTATTTTTTATTATTATCACCTTTCCAAAAAAAAGTCATTATTTAATGAGAATCCATTGATAATATCAGGACCAGACAAAAAAAAAGTAGAATAAAAAAATAAAAGTCATAATGTAACTCAAAACATTCTGCAGCAGTACTTTTAATTCCACAAGAAAAAAAGACAATGGTATTAAAATTATAAAGAAGAAGAATAGTTGTATGGTATATTCCCTTGATTGTCCATCTTTGGGTGAACGAGTGTTTCTGGTCCATATCTTGCCACTCATTGACCTTCCTGTCAGGCTCTCCCTCACTTGCGGGTGTTGGGGTGGGTGTTGCACGTGTCGTGTACAGTGTGCGCGCGCCTAATATAAATCTGTCAATCAAGCCGAGGTGCCCCTCCACCTTCGCAGGTCCACCATCCATCCATTGTCAGCTGTCATCATGGCAACAATCAGACTGTTATTTCTTTTTTTTTTTTTTTTTCCTCCAAAATCCACTAGGAGTAATGTTACATTTGATCTCCCAGCCTCATAGGGAAAAAGCAGCTTTGGCAGACGGAGTGAAAAGGGGGCTATTAATTGCATTGGAAGCGGAGTGCAAACATTCATAACTCGCTCAAGTCCCATCTCCGGCGTCCTCTCTGAAAAGAAGTGGTCTCTCGTCAACGGCGGGGTCTCCAGCATGGAAATTGAGGGTATTAACCTTAAGTGGTGCTTGACTCCACAGTGCTCTCACGCTATGCCGCTCACGTATAGACACCACTTTTCTCCTTAGCAGAGAATATGAAGGGAATCGGAGGGATGACAGAGAAAGCAAAAGCACCGCAATCTCCCTGCCGTGATTTTACAAAGACGAATTAGATTACCAGGGGGAAAAAAGGAATACTATGAGACTGCATACCATTTCACTGTCATTTTATAATTACCGGTATGTAAAAAACTTTGGGCTTGTCTGTTTTTGAGCTCAATTCTTCTGTTTTTGAGATGAAATGGACTTGTCTTAACCTTTGTCACAGTTCGGAACAAAGTGAAGAGCGATCGGATCCCACAAACGTAGACACCAAACAAAAACTTCGGAACAAAGATATTTATTTAGAAGAACAAAGCGCTTGCTGGAATGCGTCTCTGGAGGAGCCGGGGGGGATGGGGAGAATTCAAATCTGCGCAATTGGCATGGAGGATACCATTTTTTATCTCTTGTACCCCTTGCTATATTTGTGTGTGTGCGTGCGTGCGTGCGTGCATGGGTGCGTTCGCCAGCCACATGCCTCCAGCCCAGTGAATGTGCATTTGACATTTCTGCTGGCTCCTTTGTGTGAATGGAGTTCCGTATAGGCATTCCTTGAAAGCTTTTGTTCCCCTTTAGGAAGTCATTCCTTCTCAATGTTCATATCCGATATCTATCTCCATGAAAACACAGTCACATCACTCGTCTTTTTTAGGTGTGTGACTCGTCCTGATATTTTTATTGTATTTTACTGGAAGAAAAAATCATCTCTGGTTATTATGGCGTGTCCCCCCCCCCCCCCCCCCCCCCTCGCCACAGCAGGCGCGAGCCAGCTGCCGTTTTAATATTCTTACTATTCATATTTTTATTAATAAAAGCGCTATAAATAAGACATATTCGCAAACAAAATCAGTCATGAATGTTTCATTTGATGCCGCTGACCTTGAAAAGCAAAAGCAGCTGATTGGCTTCAAATGGTGATTTTGGCACATTTTCTCATTTCCTCAAAAATACTTGAATTATTCTTATTATTGTTTTTTTAATCGAATTCATGACACAGTGGCTGTGCAAAGTGCAGACAGCAGGAAAAAAAAGCTGGCTTCCATTAGTTTGTGGAGCGCTTTTGACGCTGGCAGGTCATCAGCGACACTTTTAGCACTGTCACTTTTGAATGCTAATGTTAGCAGTGAAAGACACAAACCTCAATAATCATAGAAAGGCCGAAATGTTTTGATTAAAAAAAGTCTTCTTGTATATTTATGTGTCTTTTGGTAGGTTTGGCATTGTATAAAAATAAATGCAGGCTTGCGGTGGTGTCATGTGACAAAACCCAGAAAACAGGTGAGCCACGATGTTTGCTAGCTAAGCATGTGGCCACTGTGACGTCAAATTCAGTCGACAACAAGCAAGTGGCAGTGCAGGACAAAATGGCAGCCCCCTAAAGATAAAAACAGCAGATTTTTTTTTTTCTGTTTAATTTATATTCCACAAACACAATCAGAATCCGGCGTTTGGACGAGTAGGGCATATAGAAAAGGTCATTTCAAAGGAATTTCTTGACTTGACATTTGCTTTAAGGGGCTAAACGTAAGTTGGTGTGGACATTCACTACTCCAGTAAGGCATTTTAAATGGGTAAATAATCACTGACAAAATAATGATTAATAAGATAATGCCGGGTTTTTTTGAAGTCTCCTTAAAGGCAACGATTTTAAAGGTTTCTGCCTGACGCCTAGGTTTTGTTTTATACGTCGTGTGAATGACAATAAAAAGCATGACTCAAGCATGCTTTGCCTTTTATTTGGAGGACTGTACGAGAATCTTTTATTTTCCTCAAAGTGATGTTATACGCTAGTCTTCCATTGCCTGACAATGAGAAAGTGAGCACAAGCTCAAATGAATACTTTTAAAAGTGTGTTTTAGTTAGTTAAGGTCTGTCTTAAATGTATGGTGGGGGATAAACTATAAAAATATTATATGGTCGGTCTTTCTCACGGTTGGGTTTGGTACATATTTCCCGTGATAAATCGAATTTCACTGTACCCTACAGTTATATCAAACATGTTTCATTCCTCAAAACTCTGATAAACACAGCTGCAAAGTTTCATGATTACAAAATGTTTGTCAATCAGTCGGTCACGGGTGGGTGAGGAACAGTGATCAACTTGGGTTCACCACACAAGCAATTAAGTCACTTTTATACAGAATCGCCCTTTTTAAAAGCTTCACTTTTTTTTTAATGAATCAGCCCTTTTGACAGTAATATTGCTCAGCGGCAATCTCAGCTGCTGAATCAGCAAACCTGCTTCACTTGACTGCTCACTTACAGTTGGCACACAGACATACGCGTGCCGTCACATGTCGCCATATGGAGGCAATGGCAGCCCGCCCGGTTGATTCGCGCCAGTCTAAATGTGCGCGCACAAAACGCTTGCTCGCTCTTATTGATTGCCTCCCCAGAATTATCGAGCGCAGCCCTCGGAATGATGATGATGTCTTTGGGGAGGTATGTCCCAAGATGGCCTCTTTTAAAGCGGGGGCATCATTCACAGCGCGCACAGACAAATTGACTTTTAGAGCAGAAGACAAAGTTCCTGAGACGCCCGCGTATGGGTTATCCTAGCAACAGTCACCCGAGGGCTTGCTAATCTGTGCCGTATCTAGCCAATTAACAGGCTGGAGAGGAGCTGGGGAGTTGTCAGGTGCGGCGTTCCAGACAGAGATCGCGGCTTCATCGTTTCCGCTTGACACCCTTGCTATTTCTGTGGGAGCCCCAGCACAGGTGCCATATTTGCATTTGTCGAGGTTGCAGCGCTGCTCGTCATTCAGGGCTTTGGTTTCCTTACAGACCTGCACCTTCAATTTTGGGCTCACATGTCACACTTTTGGATCATGTATTGTGCAATTGGAATTCTTTGCAATTTAGCGTCATCCACCTCTCTTGTAGGCAGGGAGCAAAGCTGACAGTAACTGGAAAAAAAAAAACTCGAAGACGTTTGTCTTTGAAGTACCTCTGGAAATTGACAAATACACCATAAATTGACTGCTTCAAACCAAAATGGCTGACTCCCTTTGTATTTTTGTGAATGGTTTCTTGAGACTTTTTGGGTTGTTTTGTCTACTGATGATAGACTGCCCTTCCAATTTCCATTGTCGCCAAGCGAAACCAGCTTCTGGGGCTGAACTTTCCAAAACTTCCATGCGGATATCAAACATCAACATTTGCTGACATGCTCCGCCGACACGCAAGTACAAAGTATAAACATCACGAGCAATCAAAAGAACATTGAGCCCGTTGATCAAGGCGTCCTCACTTTGAGTCAGTTAAGGAAAACAGACCTTTAAGATAATGATTGACATCCGATCAAACAAACCTCATCAAGGCCTCCTCTGCACTTTAACATTTCCTCTCCCCCTGAGTAGAAAGCAGAGCACCACATCTCCCGCCTGCGCTTTGTTTATCATCTCCCCCCCGCACATGAATCATCCACAGCTTTTCTTCCTGCTTGCATCACTGACACCGAGATGATGGCATGCCACTTTTTTTTTTTTTATGTACTCCCGAAGTCCCGCTGGAGAATTTACAGCTACAAGGATGTCTTATATGACTCTCTTCCCATGTAAGCATTATTGAGTCTATCTCCTGAAACTACAAATGACAACAAGGACGGCCTCTCGATTGCAGGGTAGTATCCTCTGAATTTAAACTGCCTTTGAACAATCAGTATTCTCATATAAATCCATAAAATAACTCAATCCACTTCCTACGGAGTTTAACAACCAAACCACCGAGTTCCAATGGTTGTAATTTTTCAAATGCACGGGTTGTGAGTGAGTAATGGAATTCATGTTCAGACCTGGCCTAATGTTTTGAGTACGACAGTATTGGTTTTCACAGATTGTTGCTTGACTGTTTTTCGATCTTTTTGTAAGGTGTCACCATCATAAACTGAAATACAATTACAAGCATTTCACGAGTGTCAAAAGGATTTTATAGACCATTACATTAAGTTTATGCAAAGAGTCAAGATTTGAAATACCGACCCTTCTTTTTTAGTACCACTGCAATTCGCTCCGGCATGCTGTCGATTAATTTCCGGGCCACATCCTGACTGATGGAAGCTCATAATCACATAATCAGTGCTTGAAGTTTGTCAGATTTTGTGAGTTTCTGTTTGTTCACCTGCCTCTAGTGAATTAATGACAAGTTCTGAATGGGTTTAAGGTCTGGGGAATTTCCCTGCCTTGGACTCAAAATGTCAATGTTTAGTACCCTGAGTCGCATAGGTATCACTTTTGTCTTGTGGCAAGGTGCTGCATCGGGTTTCGTCACAAGCCTGTTACCTGAATTTAGTGAAATCATGTTTGCTGTATATATTAACCCTTTCATGCACCCTGTAACCTGAGAACATGAAAAGATGTCCACTGTAGTAACCACTGTCCCTCAAAGAGTTAAGTTAACACTTGCGGTCAAATTACACTGCATGTCTTCCATTAGACCTTTCAACGGACGTCCGGCTGATCTGTTGTGAGAAACGTGGCCCAAGCCCTTGTACGACAAAATACGCTCCCACCTCCTGTCTGTGAGTTGATGCGTGGGCTTTTTTTTTTTTTGGCCCAAATTAGCACGAGTGAGCAAGCGAGCCGCGCCCCGCGGGAGGAGTAGCTAGCTGTCGTTCGTCAGATCTATTCTCGGCGAGCGGCAGCCGTCGCGCAAGCAGACTGGTGCGGGGCGGCTGCTGACAGCTTTAATAGTAATCAATCATCTGTCCCTCCGCGTTCTCGCCATTTGATAAGGGGTGACCACGAGGGAAATAAGTGAAAGCTGTTATTTGATGCTGTCGCGGAATTGTTTTTGCCTCCTCTGTGGATTAAATGGAATTATTCTTAATGCAAATATTGAAATGCATTGGTGGGGTTGCGGAGGCAGCAGCTTTAGCAGGGAAAGCCTGATGTCCCCCTCCCCAGTCACTTCTTCGAACTCTTCCAGAAGTATCCCAAGGAGTTTGCATGTTCTCCCGGAGCCTGCGTGGGTTTTCTCCGGGTACTCCGGTTTCCTCCAACATTCCAAAAACATGCATGGCAGGCTGATTGAACACTCTAAATTGTCCCTGGGTGTGATTGTGAGTGTGAATTGTTGTTCGTCTATTTTTGTCCTGCGATTGGCTGGCAACCGGTTCAGGGTGTCCCCCGCCTACTGTCCGGAGACAGCTGGGATAGGCTCCAGCATGCCCCGCGACCCTCGGATCGGAAAATGGATGGATGGTGTTCTGCCCTCGCCGCGTCCCCGTTGCGGCTAGACAGACAGATAACTCCTTCAATGGCCACACTGTTGAAATTTCTTCAAGAAGGTGTAAAACTGTAACAGACACAACACATAGACGTTGTTGGAAAAATGAAACGTGGCAAAACAATGTGCCCCACTGGTCCGACATGTGACGAACGTGTGTCTATGCTAGTGTAGCTGACGTTAACGAGCTAATGTGCTAATCGCTGTGCGTAAATGCTAACTGTAAACAATTGGAACGCCCCTCGAATGTAAATCCACGGTGGACACACCCCACTAATTAATAATATGACATACATTTACATAAAACATTTACATACAGGCTGTGCTTGGCCTACGACACGAAGCTGCAGTCCATCGTTCGGCGGTTCCCCGTGCAACGTTAAATAGGAAGTGTCTCACTCCACAATGTCCGGTGTGCCCTTCACAATAATGATTTAACCTTACAAAATAAAGCAGCTCTGTAGCGAGAGAAAATAGGAAACAAATGTAACATGGCTCTTCAGGAGCCAGGACAGATGGATATGAGGTATTTCAAAACAAATGTGCTCTGAGTTCACTTTCTGGGTCTTTGAGTATTATTATTTGTCAAGTGTTTTGTCATTCTTGTCATGTTAAATGCCAACAATGTATTATTAAATCTAAATGTCGAATTGTACAGTTGTTTTGATGAAAGTAACACTGACGTTCAAGTATGATGCATTATCATTCAGACACTTCACTGATAGATGTATAACATATTACATTTTGAAATGCGTGTGGAATATACCTGAGTGTGTCCTCCTTGGCCTTTTGCGGCTGCGCCCACCCCCCGACAACATCTTGTGCAATTATAGCCGGACACGCTAACAAGAGCTCCCAAGTGATGCTGTCAGTGTAGCCGCTGCCATGCCTGCAAAAATGTCTCATTACTCTGCCAGGGATCTCCTCTACAAAGAAGGAAAAAGTCATTAGGAAGGAATAAGTCAGAGGGATGAGCAACCTCCTCCACCTGCCCTCAGTCTCCCCCATGAATAAATGACACCGTGGTACTTTTGGTTCTCTCTACTCTCGCTCGCTGTGCTTTAGTTTTTGGAAATGAAGCGTGAGATTACTGAAGTGTATTTGAGTTCGGACTAATCAGGCTCACTGTATTACTCACAGACGATTTAACTTGTCAGGAATTCAAGTCAAATTTTTAAGATGTGATGGCCCAGTTCGGGAAAAAGTGTGTCAGATATCATTTGAGGTTGAATCGCGATGCCCTGTATCAGTCCACATTACAAAAAAGATCTTCATTGAGTTGCGACTGATCATAAATACTCAGGCTGTGAGCCTTATATTGTAAATAATGTGTGTACAAAAATCATGTTATGAAAATGGGAGTGAGCCCGATCTTACCGCATCGTAATTTGAGCGAGTTAGTTCAATTCTGAATTGCATTGCAAACGGAATGCATCCTTTTGTATTGCATCGTATTCTGAAGGTATTGTACCCAATTGTAAATTGGAGTGAATCACACAGTACCGTAATTAGAGTCAATTGTGTTGGATCCTATAGATATATAGATTTTTTTTCTTGTTATGCATGTTGAATATCACAATATTCAGCACAGATCTCATATCGCATGCTTTTCCAATATCTCCCACTCCTAATAATTAGAATCAATTGTATAGCATGGATGTAAGTGTCAAGCGGTTCCAGCGCTTTCATTGTAGTCGTGGGAACAAAGCAATAGCTGACATGAAAGAAGAACTCAAACTGTGCTGCTGTTTTGCAATTCAAAAAGTGTGAATGTAAAAAGATGTAAAAACAAGACCCCAAAAATCCAAAGGTTCCGCCTCATTATTCCCTCGTTTCATCCTCATCTTGCACATGAAACCAAAGCAAAGCGTGAGGTTTGCTGACAGACGGCAGTCCATGCATCACAGCCTTTGGCCTTCTGCGTGTTTGTGTGTTTGTGTATGCGCATGAGCTCACGCTTGGCACCACGATACATGTTCACAGCCAACACCTTCCACCTGCCAACTGAAGATGCCCTCCCCTAAAGGCCTCTAAAAATGGCCCCCTTAGCTCCTTGGAAGCGGGAGCGTTCATGTCCAGGGCTCGAGACTGCGACCAAATTGGTCTCGAATGCGATGTTTTTCAGCGTATGAGATATATTTTCATTTGTTCACGTCGGTGCGAGTGCATACTTTATTAATGCTCCAACCAATGCTGGTACAGTAATAGAGCTTGTGGTTGAAATTCTCCCTCTTTTTCAATCGGCTATAGCTTCCGCAGTGCACGTACGTCTGTCCACTTATAATCCAGCTAGCAAAAAAATAATAATAATAATCAAACAAACAGCTGTTGTAGTGTTGAAAAAACGATCTTGTGCGTCTTGAACAGCTGTCCATTGTTGTTGCTTTTCATTGCGCTGGTGTATGTGAGGTCGGTGTGCTAATATGCGTTAGCTCTGCACAGACTGAAGATGGGTCATAAACTGACCTCCGTAAATCCAAATGGGGAAGGCTCCTCCATGCCGACGAGGACGCTAGGACGCATATGTCCAGATGACATAACCAGGCATGCCGCCATCTTGGTTTCTCGCTCATTTGGGAAGAACATTGATGATAAATATGTAGAGATGTGCCCGTTTCATTGATGGCATTTCACAGTCTGCTGCAGTTTTGAAAGCCTTTGCTAACCTTCAGTCAACAAGTCTTGAGGGAACAGAATTGGTAGATTATGATGCCAGGCAGGATGTTAAATTGTTCCCCTGCCCCAGCAGACAAATGTCTTCCTTTTGATATTTTTAAGGACTCTCATGAATATGAAAACCTTCATTCATGTGGCTTATTTTGCGGCTTGCGTTCTATACATTAGCATTTTGAGCTAACAACACTATAGAAGAAACAAAATCCACTCAATAACACTGTAGTGTTGTTTCCTGATTTACCCCACACTCCCTGGGCTAATTTTACACTCATCATTCTCACCACTGCTGTGTCGTCACGTCTTTGAAACCAAACACCCTTTCAGCCCCCGCACCCGCCTATCCTCGCTCCACCCTTTATTGGATAGGGATGTAAAAGTGATGCATTGTGGGAGACGGTAATCTAATCCCGACGCTGGGGGCCATGCATCCCGACACGTGATTGGACAATTTGTCTTAATAAAGCGACATCATCACCATCAACGCCACGCTTCCTCTAGAGTCACACGCACTCACACACGCACACACACACACACACACACACACACACACACACACAAAAACAACCTGGATTTGACATTTCTTTTTAACGTGCTGTGTAAAACTCATTCACAGATTGTAAAGAAAATCCACACGGTTTAATCCGCAGAATACAAAAAGATTAGCAGGGAATGACATGCACAGTGAGGGATATTGCTGTCAGGAATTTGGAGCCTTAAATGAAAAAAAAAATGGACCGACATTATCAGGGCTCTTAAATGCAGTTAGTTGGCACAATAACATGGCAAGCACACAATCCGACAGATATATATGAAATTTCATCACTGTGTGTTTTGTGTGTGTGTGTTTATAAATCTAGACCCCCCCCCCCCCACGAAAGGTGAAAACCGCGAGGTAGGATTTGCCCCCCTTCCAAGGAATTTGTGTGCATGTTTAAAATATGTAAACAGTATTTACACTTTACATATTTGAGACAAAGATTACAACAGTATACGTATTTACTTCAATGTTTAATTATAAAATCTTTTATAGTCATTAACATTCATCAACATGACCTTCTGAGAGAGACGAAGAGGCTCTTGGTGGCATCGAAGGCAGCTCTCACTTGACTCGTAGGCTTTTGGTTCACGCTGAGACTTCTGCTGGAGGCGCTGATGGTGTAGTTGAGCTTTTTAAATTGGCGAAAAACATGGTGATGGGTACCACTATGAAGTTCATCTTGTCTTCTTATTAGTTGAAATAGGTTTAATGTTTCTTTTTTATTAGACAATGGTCTTTTCTTTCAGTGAAGAAAAAAACCTCTTACCGAGCTGAGAGTTTCGGCTCTCACTTCAGCCTTCATTTGAGCTGTCACTGCTTCCTTTTGACGTGTCCAAAAAAAACACTGACTGGATCGGGAAACCTTCAAAATAAGGCTCCCCAACCCGGTCAGGGCTGTTGATCATGGTGACGTCATGGTATAACCACGAGCTGCAGGATCACCTCTGTAGACTTCATTTCAGCCAACGTCAAGGGATTAACACTTCTGAACTTGCGCCGGGCCCCCGGTGTCTTTTTAATAAAAGCCCTTCTTGTTCCCGCGGGCTCGGCTCCACCGCGGCGGTGTCACATTCACCCTGCGCTAGTGTCACGAAAACAAAAAATTCCCACAATACCTCAGTGACGGGACAGCAGCAGGGTTCAAGCCAGGTGGCCTAATTAGTCGCCGGGTGCATCATACACTTAAAACCATTAAATGCCTCCCTCAAATAGATCTCGTCATCTCGCTTCGTGGAGACGTGAGCACATTTGAACTCGGAAAAAGTATGTTATTTGTACAAATACACTGTGCATGGATTGAATAATATTTTATTCAAATAACATACAGTACATATACTCAATATTGTGTGATTTCAATAATATCCATTTCATATTTTTTTTACTTCAATAATTGTAGAGGTTGAATAAATGTAAAAAAAAAAAAGTCTGTTCTATTATAACGTTGGAAAGTTGAACCAATATCGAAATGCAATAAAACATACTCTCTCACAAATTCCTCCCATGAAGCTGTCCGTGTATATTACTGTAAAAGCAAAAAGATTACGGCAATAACAAAGTGCATCAATTGCATCCATAAATAACAGAATAACAATCCCTTCAGTTAATCCTTTATGCGGGTCATCACAATGGAGCAAATCCCAGCACAGGGGAAAGATACATTTTTTTCTGCAATAATCCCTAGCTTTACATTTTTCTTATTTCCAACATTATATAGTGTTTTTATGGATGAGTGGTCAAAGGGTCCGCTACAAGAGTGCTAAGTGGAGAGTTCAAATGCGTTGAGTTTCTTTCACCCACGTGTCATGTCAATAGTCTTGGCACAGCGACACTTTTATTCAAACCGTCAGCCTACAATTAAGTCAGGCTTTGAAATGTCACCAAAGAGTACACTAGGGGGCGGACAGAAAGAAAATGTAGAAGACGACTGGACAAAGACAACAACATCAACCTGATGGGGAAACCAGGCTCTAAAAAAAGAGCAAAAACAAGGCGTGATGAAACCCAGTTGGGAAAGTTGGTAATAAAAATGAAGAGAATTCCACACGGTTTAATGTTGGGGCCCCTGCTGTTTTCATGGTATTTGCTGCCAATGGGTTCCACCTTAAAAGCATTTTTATTCTCTCACATGATGTTATGTAGGTATTGATTTTAGTAGTTGTAAATCGTTGTTTGTCTGTTGTCAGGTCCTTGGGGGAGGTGCATGGGCAGCGATTGTGGCCCAGGGGGCAGCCAGAGCCGGGCGGTGTGGTGTGCCCACGTGGACGGCTGGACCACGCTGCACACCAATTGTGACCAGTCGTTGCGTCCGTCGAACCAGAGGAACTGTTTTCGCGTGTGCGACTGGCACAAGGACTTGTACGACTGGCGTCTGGGCCCCTGGAACTCATGCGTGTCTGTGTCCTCGAGGGCTTCGGGGGCTCCACGGCCCATCATCTGCAGCGGGGGCGAGGAAGGTATCCAGACCCGAGAGGTGGGCTGCACCCTCAAGTCAGACGGGTCCCCTGCAGAGGACGCCATTTGCGAGTATTTCGAACCCCAGCCCCGCTTGGAGCAAGCCTGTCTGATCCCGTGCCCTCAGGACTGTGTTGTATCCGACTACTCCCCATGGACATCCTGCTCAAAAACCTGCGGGACGGGTCTGCGCAACCGGGTCCGAAGTGTTTTAGTACCGCCACTTTTTGGAGGATCCATCTGTCCCAATCTGACCGAGTTCCAGTCTTGCAAAGTGGGGCCCTGCGCAGGACCGGAGGGCATGTACAGCCTCCGGGTGGGCGCCTGGACACCCTGCGTCCTGCCCCAGACCCGGACGACGCGCCAGGCCAAGCGGCGCAAGGGGAAAGGTCAGGGAGGTGGAGGAGCCAAAGATCCCGAGACCAGGGAACTAATCCAGAAGAAACGCATCAGGAACCGGCTGAACCGGCAGGAAAGTTCTTCCTGGGACGTGCAAGTGGGATACCAGACCCGAGATGTCACCTGTGTTCACAGGAACAGCAGCTCGGTTCCACGCAAGTGAGTTTCACTTTTAACTTTTTCACCTTATCAGATGTCAAACTGTGATGTCACATTTCAGTGTTCTGCTCCTCTGTCAAACTACTATGTTACGCTACGATGTCAAGCTACGATATTCGGGTACGATGTCACGCTATGAAGTCATGCTCCAATCTTGTACTACGCTGTCACAGTATGTTGTTGAGCGGCAATGTTAGGGTATGCTGTCACGCTACATCAGGCTATGATGTCACACTGCGATGTCTTGGTATGATCTCACGCTACAATGTTTCTACATGGTGATGTCATGCTATGCTAAGATGTTATGCTAAGATGTCGAACTATGATGTCGAGCAACAATGTTATGCCACATTGTTATGCCACTATGTTACACTACGATATGATTCTTTGTTACGCCACAATAGCAAGCTACAATGTTGGGCTATGATATCATGGTACTACTATGTTATGCTACAATGTCAGGCTAAGATGTTAGGCTCTGATGTCAAGCTACGATGTTGTGCTACGATTTTGAATGGGCTTTTACACTTGTACAGTATAGTGCTTTTCTACCTTCAAGTCACATTGTTAGGCTATGATGTCACAATGATCTCACACAATGATCCGACACTACAATGTTACGCTATTAAATTTCGCTAAGATGCTAGGCTATGACGCTGGGATATGGAGTTAGGCTACGGTGTTACTCTACAAATGTGGGCTCCAATTTCATCTTCCTATTATGCCACAATGCTAAGATATCACGCTCTGATGAAAGTTGAGCATTGCTTCGTGTAAATAGTATAAGGTGGTCATGTATGATGATAAGGAGCTCTTTCTGTTTCTTCTTCCTTCTCGATAGAAGTTCCACAGTGTCTGCTTGTGTTTTCCAGCACTGTTTTCTCTGCTCTTTAATCTCCAGGAAATCTTTGCGGGCGAGCCTGCGTTCTCATGTGCCTCCGTTCACGCATCCCGGTGGTGGAGGATGTGATGTGATGTGATGTATTATACACTAAACGCGTTCATTCACGCATCTCGCCGGCGACGCCCATCACAAGTTTCAAAGAACAAGCAGTTGCGCAGCCCACCACATCCATGAATATTCATTCGTCCTCTGCCGGCCTTGTTGATTCCTCACGCTGATATAGTCACACTTGTTTTTCCGCAACTTTGGCAAAAAGTGCCGAAAACTTCACACTAGCAGCACATGCCGATGACACCATTATTTCTGACATGTGCAGACAGCGGCATGGTTCATCATTGACACTATTCCATTGACTTTCGGTGATGCTTTTTTTTTTTTTGAATGAATTTTTACAGTACATATTATTGATATACTTTACTCCCAGCTCTACGCGACGCGATCAGTAGTGCGTTGGCATCTGCTGCCTGGTGACTAGCAAGCGTCATTAGCATCGACTGTGGCTCTGCGTGTGGAACTTACATAAACATCGTTTGAGGGTCTAAGCTACATTTACCAAAAGTCCCCACATCCCTCCTCCTTTCGTCCCCCCAGGGTGCACGCAGAGTCATTAGAAATGTTCTAAACGAAAGCAGACGACTTCTCAGCTCAGACTTTTCTTCCCCCTGGAGGCCCTCGCAGCTGACGAGCTATTAGTGTTAATTCCACCGCTGTGTCATTTGGAAAGCTCTCATTTAGGCGCCTCATCCCGTGCACAAGACACGTTATTTTAAAAACGCCTGTGTGTGTGTGTGTGTGTGTGTGTGTGTGTGTGTGTGTGTGTGTGTGTGTGTGTGTGTGTGTGTACGTGCGTGCGTGCGTGCGTGCGCGCACGTGTTTGGATATGATATTTTGCCGCAGTATTTCTTCGTAATGTTTTGCTACAATGTTAGGCTACGCTGATACGCTACAATATGATGCTACAAATTTATGCAACAGTGTGACACTACAATGTCATTCACTGTTAGGGCAGTCATAAATTAATATTTTTAGAATCAATTAAAACAGTGACTAAAGTTAGCGTCGAAATATGACACACGTTGAGCGCCTGGTGTCAAAAAGCCAGAGAAAAATCAAAAGCTTGTGATTCTTTTGTGTTGTCCACAGCTTGTGCACACCGAGGGAGGTGCCTCTGACCATCCAGTCGTGCGTGCTGCCCAGAGACTGCCAGCTAAGCGACTGGAGCAACTGGTCAGCCTGCACCAAGGCCTGCGTGGACTCCGACTTGCCCGGTAGTTGGCGACAGCGCCACAGAGAAGTGCTGCAATTCCCCACGGGCGAAGGGACCGAGTGCCCGACGCTGAACGAGCGGGAGCCCTGCGAGCCTCAGGGGGATGTCGTGATGCCCTGTGCCGTGTGAGTGGGCGGGTTGGCTTGTAGCTCTAACTGACGTCAGATAAGATCTAAGTGAAACATTGCCTGACAAGAGGAGGATTCAGATGTTTAATTCAGATCTCGGTGATACAGTGTTAGATTTAACTTGTATGATTAATCAGAATCTCATCGAATGAAATTTGACCTCAGAGCTCACCAGTAGAGAGGTGTGGCTGATTGGGATTGGGAAGCAAACAGTCTTGGACCGTGAGCCGTACGAAGCTACCCATTGCTATCATGTTTTTTTTATTATTGCAAATAAACAGATTGCATTATATTCAGGAGTCATCGTATCGGATTCCTGAGTACTATTATGTCAAGCAGTCCAACAGTCGTGGTGGTGACTTTTGTGATATTCAAAACAGTGTCTGACTTGTCTTGTCACGCCTCCCAGCTATGCCTGGAGGACCACCGAGTGGTCTGATTGTCGTGTGGACTTACTGCTGGGCCAGCAGGATCGCCGCCGCGCCAACCTGACTGGACTCTGTGGTGGTGGTCTACAGACCAGAGAGATCTACTGCGTCCAAGCCAATGCCGAGCTTCTCAAGTATGTCAGCGACTTCCAGGAGAAAGACAAAGGTAAACAAACACTGAGGCTCCTCAGCTTCTTTTGAAATTCTAAAATAGCAGCACCTACGTTGACACACAAACAGACAGATTCAAGTGGGGAGGTTTGGCGTAATTGAAAAGGATACAACACCGCACATAATTAAACTGTATCTTAACAGAAAATTAATAGAAAATCCAATATTTGACTGGTGTATACAAAACCATAGCATTCAATTACTGTTACATGCTTGTATTTAAACAGGCGCGTGCGCGCACACACACACACACACACACACACACACACACACACACACACACACAGACACACACAACATGCATGATGAGAAGAATGGTTATCTCTGAGGAGCAGGAGCTCTCCCTTGACTGAGGTGTGTTCGTGAACAGGGGGGGCGGGGGGGGGCGCTTATAGTCTCCCAGCAAGTCAGCGAGGTCCACCATCTCTAAATCCAGCTTGACACATCAGCAAATGCAAAACACACACTGAGACTGACCTCTGATTTCGTGAAATTGTGTCGACAAATTTACACTATTAAATTTAAACTGACTGCAAATTTGTTGTTAGTGCTGTATCTGACTTATATGACACTGATTGTGATGATGGTTTTACACGACTAGCCCAAACTGACCTCAGATCAGATCATAGTGAAATGGCGTCAAACTTGACTTGCAAATGGGACTCATTCTTAAAATGGAACTCCTTGATTGACTTGGGCTTGACATCCCACCATGCTTGTGCCCCGACCCTTTTATGTGTGGCTAATAGCTAACGGCTAGTTGCTTGTGTAGTTAGCCTAGCTCGTAGTTCATAAGTGCAATCTGCCCCTACTATTCCAGCGGGACAAACCCAAGGACAACAGAAACCTAGTGTACCCCCACTCCTCTCTGTCTCCTTCCACATCACAGGTAGGTCGTCTGCTTTAAATACTCCTCACGATCAATGTTCACGCAAACTCTCTGAGCATTCATTGGACCACGGTGCGCAACAACAGACACGCACATGGCGGCCAAACTAGTATCACATCCATCCAAAACCTCAGACCACAACCAGTTACATCAGCGGTCACCAACATGGCTAGCTAGCTAGCCCCCGGAGACCACATGAGTAGCCCGCGGGCCTGTTCTAAAAATAGCTCATCGGTGATGGGAGATTATTTTCTAGAAATGTGGCTGAAGTGATCATTTGAAAATGTGAACCCTGGCAAAGATTGCAGAAAATAAATGACCACCAATATTTAAAAATAGAACCTATACATGAATGGAGATTTGTGACACAAATAAAATCAGCCCGAGTTTGTTACTTTTATTTGAGCACACATTAAGTCTCAATGCAATCTGTATAAATACTGTTCCACTCCTAAAGAATCGAAAACATTATCATTTAAAAGAAACATAAACATTTCCAGCCACCTGACCTCTGTCGAAATGCCACGTGTGTGCGTGTTGCGCGCCAGGGTTATCGCGTGCACCGAGAGGGTGCGAGACGTGCGCAACTGCTCAAATGCACAGCTTCGAGGGAACATTGCTCATGATCGTCTTCTTCCTCTTCCTCCTTTGACTGGTTGCTCTTTGCCACTTTTACTCCACTTCCTCCTTTACCTCTAACTCCCCTTGCAACTCGTCCTCCTCTTTCTCTCCCCCTCTTTTGCTTCCTTCTTATCCTCTACTTCTTCCTCATCTTTCTCCTCTGCAACCTCATTATCCTGTCCTACTTGTACTCTTTCCTCCTCCTCCTCCTTTTACTCCTCCTCCTCTTCCTTAATCCTCCTCTCCCACTTTCTCCCTTCCTGCTCTCTTTTTATTGTCATGCCATTCTGCTTTTTTTTCTTGTCCCCTCCTCCTCTTCCTCCACTTCCTCATTTTTTTTCCCGTCTTCCCTGTCCCCCTCCTTCTCTCCCTTTCCTTGACCTTTTGCTCCTTCTGTTCCTCTTCCCCCTCCTCATCTTCTCCCCCACTTCCCCGGTTTCTTCTTTCTCGTCTTTCTCATCCACCTTTTCGATGTTCCTCTTTTTCCTCCCATCAAACTCCATCTTAACTCTTCTCCATTTTCCTCCAGCACTTACTTTCCTCCGCGTACTCATTAAACTCTTCCCGATGCTCCTCGGAGTCTGCCCTTCACCCTCCTTTTTCTCCCCTTCTCTCCCCTGCTCTTCCTCATGCCTGTGAGCGTTCCAGGAAGTCGCTTTTACACTTCCTGACACCCGATCCTCGACACTGCTCGTCATCCACAGCTCCTCATCCCTTAATCTTATCCTCTCATCTCCTTGTGCTTCTTTGCCTTCTCTTTTCCCACTCCTCATAACGCTCCTCCTCCTTTTTGTCATTTTTCATGTTATTATTAGCAGTTTTTTCTCGTTAGTTCTGCACAGCTTCTAGTACGTGTGTCGATGTTTTTTGTTTGTTTTTTTGTGAAATCAGATTTTAGCCTCTGTGTAGCCATGTCAATTAATAGTGTTGGCTAATTTGAAATCTATTAGCAAAGGGAATTCATCCTGTAATAATGAAAAATTCATCATAACAGGGCCAAAGCTCTGGCCTTCCGCATTTTGCCGTTCTTTGATTGTTTGGTCAGAGCAAAAGTGTACACCTAGCAAAACACGTCTACACACATGAATACATTTCATAAGCAAAATCTCTGTTCAGCATGATGTAAAAGGAATTAATGGCCAACACGCGCCCCCAAAAAAAAAAAATTACCTACGATGAGACAAGATGTCAGCCAAACAATATTTTAATTGCGCTGGGCTGAGCACAAAAAAGCAAATCGGTGACTTTTTATGCAAACTGTCAAATGGTCTTTCCCCATTTAAATGAATGGAAATGCTATCAATCCGTTCCAGCTTTCTACAAAACCTCAACAAAAATATGTATGATGTGGTAAATATCGATTGGGATCTACTCCAGGTGATGTTTGTGGCGCAGTTGTGAGCTGTTAGAATTGCATTTTTGTTTCATATTGATGCTATTTTAAAAAAATTGTTTCGACGTGATAGCGGCGGTTTTAAGTTGGGTTAAGACCCCATTGAAGACGCAACAAATGAACCGCACACTACTGGCTCAGCCCATATGCAAATGAGCATTCAGAGCTGTCAGTTCACACAAGAAAAAACAAAGCAGGCGCTCGTTTGGTGTATTTCCTTAACGAGGCGTGGATTAACGGGGGCTCCACAATCCACCGCTTAACGTGTGTGTGTGTGTGTGTGTGTGTGTGTGTGTGTGTGTGTGTGTGTGTGTGTGTGTGTGTGTGTGTGAGTGTGTGTGTGTGTGTGTGCGTGTGTGTGCGCGCGCGTGTGTTTACTAGAGGAATTATTTATAAGTGCAATTGGCCTCTTTGCATTTCAAAAGCCCCCCACTTCTGCACGAGGATTTGTGATTCAGCTCTTCCGATTTTTAAGCTTCTGCATTTCTTGCAGGAGCACGAGTCGTATTTTTATATATTACATCTTTTTTTTGCCATTCCTGGAAATATTCGGCACTCTGTGTGGGAGCAAAGTGGCGATCAGCATATCTTCCTCGCCTACTTAGAGAAATATTTCACGTTTCAAGAACAGCACAATTTAAAGTTCAACACAGTTTGTTCTTTAATACCAGGCTATTTTTTTTTTTTTTTGTATAGGAAATTATGAAAATGTGAATAATATGTGCCTCATCATAAAGTCTGTCCAGGCCATGTTTTAAAGTGATACTTGAAAATTATTAACCATCATAGACGTGGAAAAGAAGGTACCACTATAAAAAAAGGAGATTTAAACTTTTTTGGGCTATACTTTTCCCTCCTCATCCTCGTCTTCTTTTTCCTTCTACTTTTTCTTTTCTTTTCCTCTCCCTCAGTTTTTCATTTTCTCTTTTCTTCTCTTCCCCCTTTTATTCTCCTCTTTTTTGGACCTCTATGTTTCCCGCTTTATTCCTGTTCCTCTCCTCTCTGTTCCTTCATCTTCCATTTTCCTCCTTGTCCTACTCTTCATCTTCCGCTCCCTCTCCTCTCTGCTTTCTCCTCTTTATTTCCCTCTGTTCTTACATTCTCTCCTCATCTACTTTTTCCCTCCTACACTCCTAATGGACTTCCTCCTCCTCTTCTTCTTCCTCTTTCTACTTTTCTTCCTCCTCCTCTCCTCCTATTTTCCACTTCCTGTTATGCTCCTCATCCTCCCACTCTTTCTCCTCTAATTCTGCAGTTTATTAAAAAATGACGTAAAGTGAAATGAGGGAGACCGGATTAAATGAGACAAGAATTGAACCAATCTTTCTGTATCTCACCAATAGAACAATCTGCTAGTTGTTTGTTTACATCCAAACAGGTTGCAACTGGAAAGCGCATTTTTTTTTGTTCTATTTGAATGTAACTATTCACTTTAAATTAATCACACAGTCGTTTCACTTTTTTCAGTGTTGTGTAGAGTTATCACATCAGCTGTCAAACTGATTGCATCCTTTTTTTATCCCGTTAGCGACGCGCCCGGTGGAGAACCGTCTGTGTGGAGGTTCTGTTCCTGATCGGTCACAGCTGTGCCAGTTGACCTGTCCCGTCGAGTGCCAAGTGTCTCCCTGGGGTGCCTGGGGGCCGTGCACCTTCGAGAGCTGTGACGAGCAATCAGCCAAGAAAGGTAAATTCACCGGGCACTGAGCTCAGGCTTGGTGAAGCAGCATTTGGCTCACTATTTGTGGCACTGTGTTTCATGTAAGTGGGGCAGCAGCAGTAGAGCTTGTCGACTGCATTCCAGGTCTGGTCTATGCAATGTCTCATTTTTTCTTGCAAGAAGATAAAGGAGAATCACCGCTTGTCAAAGATTTAGTGTTCACTTTTTATAATGTACTGAAAGGCTTCCACACTTGACTTATGGCACTGTAATAAACTTTATTGAAAATTAACATGCAATCTTTATTACACAGATGGACGACTGGAAGTCTTATACAGTACAGCTAAAATGGTCTCAGAAAAACTCCCAAGAATCCCAGACAGATGCAAATTTATGGTCTCGGCTCGTGGAATTTTAATCCTATTCCATCTAAACATGGCTTCGAAGTGCACTGAATAGTCCTAGTGTCCTAATGTCGATGATGTAGGGAAAAGATACATGAGAAATATATACCACTGCTGTGAGCTTCTTCTGATGTCCACTTTTAGCAAAACGTGTATGTTAAAGTCACTCAAGACTCAAAATTGTTCGGCTTAGCTTGAGATGAGCAAAGGACCCACAGGCAGACACAATGAACTCAGAACTGGTTTATTGTCAGGAAGAGGGACAGGTCGAGGAGGCAGGAAACAAAAGGCTGTCAGAGAAACCAACTCGAGGTGTACTGGAAGGCTTGAACAACAGCTAGGCAGCAACGAGAAAATGGTTGACGAACCGGCAACAGGTGGCTTTTCAGACTGGCCTTTATGCTGCAAGGGGGTGAGTGTGGCTGACGAGGTGAAGACTGGCAGGTGTGTAGTTGAGACAGGTGCAATGATTGGAGTGACGCCCAGCCCACACGGAATTAACAGAAAGGAAACAAAACACAACAGAGGGACCATAGTGGACCACTGAGGACAGACAATGTATTAAAAAAAAAAAATTTGACCAAGAGGTTAACAAAAATGTATGTTGAAGTTCACATGTCTTCAAATTGACACTGATGTTGATGAAAAATCATGTTAACTTCACTGAAAGCTGTCTTGATGATTACCGGTATGAAAATGTTTGCTAGAGTCATTGAAAACTCATTATTAGACTCATTTTTTAGTTTAGATTCATTGAAGATGATGTGTAGAAATTCATGTACTTGAGGTTTACTGGACTCCAATCACAAGGTTCGTCAAAGGCATCAAATGTACCATGATGTTAATGAAAACATGTACCTTGAGTTTACATTAGTTCACAGCGGTACCCAATTACCGTATTCAAGATGCCGTGTCTGTATTACAGGATTCAAACTGAGAAGGCGCCAGATCACCAATGAGCCCACGGGCGGCCCAGCCAACTGCCCGCACCTGGTTGAGGCACTACCCTGCGACCAGCCCAGTTGCTACAACTGGCGACCGGTTGGCCTGGACCGTTGCGTACCCGTAGAGCAAAAGCGGTGCGGGCCCGGAACGCAGCTGGCTCGGGTCCAGTGCGTCAACCGCAACAGTAAGATCACGGCCTCAGGACCCTATTGTTGTCTTTGATATTTCGGTTTTGGCGAAATCTTTCCATTGACTTGGATGTTTGTGAGAACACGTTGAGCTCCTTGATTCTAAGTTCGTTTGACTCTCGATTTGTCTTTGTGTAGAAGAGGTGAATCAATGACTCTAAATTGACCTTGATGTTGATTAAAATATTGACTGAAGGTTCTAAATGGTTAGTAGATGTGTGAGTGACAGCTGACTATTTTTGGGAAAGACTCCAGCTTTCTACCGCAATGCTGAACAGACTATGAAAAATAAGCGCTCCACTTCTTTTCTTGAAAAAGTCTTCCCTGCTTTGATGATTTTTATGCATGACACATTTTCCTCGACTTGCCACCCACCGTAACGCTGAGTCGGACCTCCTCCCTCCCACAAGCAATTAACTTGACTTTACCACTAAATCAAATCATCCTCAAAGCGGATCTCCCTCCTTGTGACTTTTATCACTACTTTTTTTTTGTATCCTTTACCGGTCATTTGGTTTTATTTCGTCTCATGAAAGAATTGTCACCATCAGTGTCATTTACTTGTAAATGTTAGCACCTGTCACATGAATGAATTGCTCCTTGATGCTTCCAGTGGAGAGACAAACCGCTATGATTGATCCGCCTGCCTCCGATCCCTTGTCTGGCAGAGGAAAATAGATTTTCTTCTTTAGTTTTTTGTATTTTGTTTTTTTTTTTCCCCCTTCCACTGAGAGAGAAAAGGTCACACGGGCAATAAGTTTTGCGTTCGTGTTCAGGTGAGCCGGTGGACGAGAGCCTGTGCTCGTCCACGCCGCCGCCGGATCCCGTGGCCTGCCAGGTACCTTGCTCCAGGGACTGTGTGCTGAGCGACTGGACTCCATGGTCCACCTGCTCTCAGACCTGCTCCAGCAAGACCGTGGAGGGAAAACAGATGAGGACGCGATCCATTCTGGCTTACAACGCCGGCGAGGGTGAGTTCACGAGTATCGCACGACAATAACTTTTGACATGCACTCCTCCCAAAACGTTTAGGGATATTCAGATTTTTGAGTGATTATATGACACAAGGAGGTCACTGAGTTCAAAGGTCATTTTGAGGGATTACATTTCGTATGATATATTAGTATGAATGATAGATGACTTTCGGGAATCATGATACGGTATGGTGACCTAAACTGTGTCTTTTTTCAAGGTGGCGCCATGTGCCCCAACAGCAGTTCACTGCAGGAGGTCCGCAACTGCAACGAGCATGCGTGCACCGTGTACCACTGGCAGACAGGTCCATGGGGGCCTTGCTCCGAGGACCCCTCCTCCGCGACCCTCAACGCCACCTCGGCGGGGGCGGCCGTGGGCCTTGGCAGCTGCTCCAACGGGGTCCAGACGAGAAAAGTCATGTGTGTGCGTGTCAACGTGGGACAGGTGCCCCCTAAGAAGTAAGTTCTCTTTGCTTCTGCTCCATTTAGGAGATTTATTGAAAGGCACCTTGCACAATAGCAATGAACACAATGACCGAAAATAACCCAGAATTGAAAAATCTATCTGTGCAGCCAGTTACAAATGCAGATTATATTTTTGTATTTGCATTTATTTTGCCAAATACATCCTTATATGGTTAAATAAATCCAAAAATAGAAATCAACACCATGCTTGTCACCTTTTTGTAGTTCATTTCAGGGTTGTTTCTTCATAGCTTGTTACTGGATTAATTGACTTTCTTAACGCTGTTTCTTTTTTTTTAAAGGTCTTTCACGGGTACCCAAATTTCACCTACAATATTATTATTATTATTAAATGTAACTCTGGTTGTTTTTAAAGTGTTCATAATACACACCACCAGATCTTTTTTTTTACATACACACGGTTCTCCGCCATCAATAAGTCACACACTTGTCATTTCAGTAGTTATTAAAATGGAACTATGGTTGTTTTTAATGTGTTCATAATACGCACCACCAGATCTCTTTTTACATACACACGGTTCTGCGCCATCAATAAGTCACACACTTGTCATTTCAGTAGCGAGGCTCCCCTACAGCTGACAGTAAAAAGGGGCTTTGCCGCATCTTTTGAATAAGGGAAAAAGGTGCGCCGTCTGGTAGACAAATGCAAATGTTGACAGATACAATGTGCGTATTTCGATGACAAAACGAACAAGGAGCATGCGGTGCTGAGAAACGAATGCTTCAAGTGAATCAGGGAGCATACAGTGAACCCTTACTATATTGTGGTTCATCATTCAAATCTATATCATGTATTTTCAGTCTCAATGTTTTTTTACAGTATACAGGCAAGTTCAAATTCAGAATAGCTCACTATGAATTATGCCACAGTTGCAATTACTGTAACAGCATAGCCTGTCTTGTCATTTCGTATGATATATTAGTATGAATGATAGATGACTTTCGGGAATCATGATACGGTATGGTGACCTGAACTGTGTCTTGTTTCAAGGTGGCGCCATGTGCCCCAACAGCAGTTCACTGCAGGAGGTCCGCAACTGCAACGAGCATGCGTGCACCGTGTACCACTGGCAGACGGGCCCATGGGGGCCTTGCTCCGCGGACCCTTCCTCCGCGAC